TATACCATTCAGGTACTTGATTGAGTACCTGAATTTACAGTTCACAATGCGCATGTGCCAATTTAAAAACCGGAGAGTAAATTAAATCGATTTGGTCATTTAACAGGTTGCACCCGCAATGTTTATGCTTGTGAATTTTCAAGGATTCTAAATAATTAAGTTTGCAACCCTTCCTTGCATAGTGCAGAATTTCCGTATTGTTTAGATTCGGAAACTTTTGGTTGCATGCCAAGGAATGGTTTGAAAACGTCGAATCATTTTTTCCTAGTCTGAACGACCTTTCATGTTCAGCATACCGTTTTTGGAAATTCCGTCCGCATTGTCCCACATAAACACTATTACACTTCGAAAACTTAAGCTTATAAACTCCATGCAACCACAAGTTTCCGAATCTAAGCGATACGGAAATTCTGCACTATGCAAGGAAGGGTTGCAAACTCAATTATTTAGAATCCTTGGAAATTCACAAGCATAAACATTGCGGGTGCAACCTGTTAAATGATCAATTCGATTTAATTTACTCTCCGGTTTTTAAATTGGCACATCCGCATTGTGAACTGTAAATTCAGGTATTCAATCAAGTCAAGTAAAAGTAATAACAACATAGGCAATTGTACCTCTTCAAGTTTACTAAGTATTGTAAAGTAGCAAATTTGAAAGAATGAGTTATAAAACGTAAACTAAAGTTACATGTGTTTTTTGGGTTGTGTGTGTGGAAGAGGAGGATTCTCATTGGAGTTATCCTTTTACCACAGAGTGTTTGATATAGGTAGTCAGTCATATAATTATTTTACTTCTTATCACAAACCTAATCCGTGCATCACAGATCAACTTGTTTTCCATCGCTAGAAGGCTTGTGATGTTTACCGGGAGTTGAATATTGAGGGATGCAAGTGTGGACAGTTGCTTTTGTATTTCTTGAACATGGTTTTTACCTGCAAAAAATAAATGGTTCAAATCGGCTAGAGAGTTATCATCACATGTACATAACCTAGTGTGTGCGTCTATTTTTTTCCCGCTATCTCGAAAGTTTCATCTGTCAAATTCACTTAAAAATGAAGTATTCATGCATTGATTTCATTATCGCAAATTTCAATTTTTTGAGTTTGACCCGTTCAAAAAATTAAAGGGGGGACATTAAAGAAATGCACTTATGTTTTTCCATTAACCAGCTGTCGCCCCCCTACGAACGCAACTCTCAAAAGTCAAAACTTGTGCGAACTAAGGGCTAACGAGGTCTTACTTTTTAATGTGTGATTCTTAACCCGAGTTAGAAGATAACAAATGAAAATCTACCGTTCGGCCTCCAAGTTCGAAGCACAGGTTCACACATGGGTCGATTGAGTGAGTGGAGCGAAGCCCTCACATCAACCCGATCTGTAGAATGGTAAATGAGAGTAAAGAAGATTCAACAAACAACATTTAAAAAATGTGATGTGTGTGGATTATTGATCTTTCCCCGTCGAGACAGTCAAGTGGAAGTTACAGTGCGGTACGCGCAGCGATCTAGTAAGGCGATAGACTTACTACTTTGTTTTTCGATGAATTGTATAGATCCGAAACTTTGTTAATTCATATATTGGTCACCATCATCCTTATGTTACGTTAGTAGCCATGTTTTTTTCTTTAACGCTACACACCCTGTATACCTTCATGACAACTTTTCTTCAACGCTGCAAACACATCCTATGTACCTACATAGTAGCCATGTATTTTCTCTAACGTTGGCAGCCATGTTTTTTTAACGCTGGCAGCCATGTTTTTTCTTGAACGCTGTACACAACATGTATACCGTGATGGCAGCCGTTTTTTCTTTAACGCAAGCAGCCATGTTTTTTCTCTAACGCAAGCAGCCCTGTTTTTTCTTTAACGCTGCGTATCGCTTGTATACCATTTGATTGATGTGTTTTGAAACAACACCCTGTTTATCTAATATTATTGCTCTCATAAGCGCAATCGAATCGTTATCTCTCAAACACTGATAAGCAACTTCCGACATAAAATCCTCATCTACTACATTCGAATAAAAGTTGAAGTTGTTTGTTGTATTTGAAGTAAAATAAAGTTAAGTTTCATTATTGTTCAGTGTAGTCAATTATTGGTCAACCCACGGGGAAAAACGTAACAGTATTCAAGAAACACACACATTCCATGTATCAACACTATCGAAGAGAGATACTTACATATAAGAAAATTAATATGTATTTCGAAATATTTACATCAATTATCACAGATTACATATTTGTGCAATTGTATCAATATTTCTTCCTCGCTTAGAGCTTTGTTCACGAGATGGAGCTGTTACCGGTTAACAATTTTTCTCTTAGACGAAGATTTCATACATGCAGTCGGTCCGTTTCGAAATCAATCAAATCCCAAGCACACTGTTGTAGTCTAGTTCACAGTACCATTTTTTCTTGAAAATATGACAATTTTCATATTTTCTTGAAAATATGAAAATTTTCATATAATCTCTGAAAATTACGATCAAGGTGTCATTCGTTTCGTATTGCCACGTAGGATCATCTTGATCGTAATTTTCGGAGACTATATAAAAATTTTAGAAGAAAATGTTACATATGAACTAGAAACTAGACTATCGTTTGTCTGGGATTTTTTCTGCACTGGCGAGGAGTAATTCCTCAAAACTGGTCTATAGGTGATCTACTCAATTGATTTCAGCATGGTTCTGCTGTTGGATGAACGAGAAACATCTGCAACCGCTGTGAGGTATCTTATATAAATGTATGTCGGATATAATTCAATATCCATCGTGATATTAGCCGGGGAAGTAGTTATTTTTTTGGCAGGCATTTACCAGAAAGTACTGTATAGGTACGGTGGGAGAGATGAATGTTTCGATATTTTATTTGGAAATATTTATTTCCTTTTCAAGACATTGGAGGCTCCAACGAAATTCTTTCCTCATTCTCGACCTCTGCTCGCATAAAACTCCTCAATTTATTTTTCCAATTCTTCATTGTTGCACCTGCCGAATAAGTTCTCTCTCACACCCATAAATGTTTGAACTGCATCCACATTTTAATGTGATTTTGTCTCAGTCATCAACAACACAGAACATCATCAATAAAAACATATACATTTTGATAATGTTCATGTATGAATTCTCATATATTACTAAAATTCTTTCATATATTATTTTTTAGTAATCATCATTACTTAAATATCTTTTATTATCACACTTCATGACTTGACGAACAAAGGAAAGTCTCTAAACGACTGTGAGCCTACTGACAACCCAAACTTCTACACTAAAGTTGTTTGGACATACAACAATTTAAAATCAATTTCATATGGAGTTAGAAATATATTCTAATAGACATTATCATGAGAGAAGATATCACTGGTAATCACAATAATACAACAAATATTCAAAAACGAATCAGCGTGACTATATATTACTGTTGTCAAGTTTTACATAATTGTAATAAAATTCAAATGATACTAATATTATGTCAACAGATTCAAAATCATAATGAGTAATCAAGGGCAGAAATATTCAGTTTAAATACATACATTTGGAAAATGCTCTACTATTCAAAGCATCTTTAAAAAACTGAAAAATATAACTAAAAAAAATTTTCCAGTCCTGCAGATAAAATGGACCATATGGTCAATACAATAATTTACAGTTTTTGTTAAATCTAGAAAAGTTATTAGACAATAAAAAACAGTTTCTATTCCTTAAGTCCACATCATTTTTGTTGTCCAATTTAGATCACATTTTTACAATTACTATTTTTCATTTCATATCGAGATCTGTACAAAAAATATCCATGTTAGTATTACTTCCACAAATATTTCAAAGTCCTGCATTGAAATACTTTCTGAAATATATTAGACTTCAACGCCTGAAAATCAAGATTATATAATACAATAAAGTTTTAAAATCGCAAAATTATCAAATGCTCAGAAACATCTTTCAACACAAAAATTATATAAAAACCATAAAATAAGGTGCAATTAAGTTGTATCAATATCTTTACAATTTAAGACAAATTATATTTTGAAATACAATAAGATTTCTTTGCTGATTCAACACTTTCATTTCATGTAACCAGATTTTACAAACCTTGCAATGAATACCTCCCTAACTAATAATTTTAATATTTTTTATAACTACAAAAAATAATGAATAAAAAAAAACTGGAACTCTACTTAAACCTGACAATTTATTACAAACCTTAGAGAGGGAGTCTTAAGTTAACTCAGTGAACAATGTGTAAAGATTATATTGTTGCGGATCTTTTTCAAAAGGTAGTATACATTCACTACACTTGGGTTGAGATTTCTGTCAATTGCATTCATTAAAAAAAAATTTGAGAAGTTTCTAAGCCTTCCAATTAAAATAATACAACTAACTTTACATTTCACAGTTTTGACTGATTCACAGACCATACTCATACTTTTATTTTACTTTCCGTTTAGCAATTTTTCTATTCTATTAAACAGGTCACGTCAAAGCCGAAATCATGACAGAAAATTGTAAATTGACATATTCCGAATCTACACGAAGGCAGGCAAAAGATACAATTCTAAGTTTACTGTCAAAAGTAAAATATAAAGTAAAAGTGCGGATGATGACAGGCTGTCAGTCATCAAAGTTATTTACAAAATCAACGATCAATTTGAGTAATCAGTACATACACAATTTAAAATCTACGGCTTTTTTAATCAGTCAGTGTATCAACATGTTTGCCATTTACAAAAATTTCATCTAATTAAGATGATGTCAATTATAACAAAACTGATAAAAATAATCGATCATTTATATTAAAGAATTACTGTTGAGATTTACCCTTTCCATTATAGATTTCACATAGGCTTCATGGATTTGCCTGGTAAAATCAGAGTTATTTTTCAACAAGTAGATCAAAGCTTGTGCCAACTGCTTCTCAGTTAACAAATCCATTTGTTCCAGTTTTTCTTCAGTTGAATCGTTTAGATTTTCTTTGGCTGTTGGATTGGTGAACATCATTGGAGTCATTAAATGAGGTTTCTGAGTGTCCAAAAACTGAGCAAATGATGAAGTTCCCAGCAAATCATTTGTATCCTCCTTATCAGATCTATTTTGATTATGTAGCAAATGAGTGAGTGGCGAAGCTGCCTTTAATTGGTTTTGATTTTGACTGACTGAATGAGTGTTCAAATTCAAGCCATTCTCAGAACTAAAATTGATATCATTGGAACTTGAACCTGGAAAAGTGATTGGAACACTTCTTCTATCAGCATTAGTCGTGACTTTCTGACGAACATTCAAGTGGTCCTGTGGTGTAATGGAACGCTGTTGTTTCTCTATATGTTCAACAGTATTAGCTGGATTAGACATGAGTCGTTGAAGAACATTTTCCCCACTGCTTCCTGAAACACTAGACTTTTGAGAAGTTTTAGTACTAGCTTTAGCGAAGAAATCCATAACACTTTGGGAGGTCACATCAGGAACCCTAGGAGTGGATGAATACGTTGTTGGACCCTCTTGTTTAACAGGTGTTCTATTGAAAGTTTCTTGTGCCTTCGTTAACATACTAAAGATATCAACGTTACCGTCAATCTTTTTGGACTTCTCGTCGTTTCTATCCTTGAGCCCCTCCATGAGAGATTCAATCATACAAGTAATTCTTACACACTCTTCTTTGTTGAAAAACCAAATTCCAAAAATCTTACTCTTTGAATTCCTGTACAGCAGAAAAGGTACTTGCATTTGATAGTCGAAATCTTTAACAATGGGTTCGATTAGGTTGTCGGTATTCAACCTATTCATAACCATGATACTGTGAAATGGTTCCCCATTCCGGCTGTAAATAAATAACGCACCTTCGGTTTCTGTTTTTTCCCACGCGTTGGTAGATATATTGAAAATGTACAATGCAACGTGAGTAGCGTTTGCTAAAATGTCTTTAACATATGGATCAACTCGTTTTATCGACGTTACACTCATACGCAACTCGACAGAATCAGCCATGATTTGAAACTGGACAAGAAAAAGAAAAAACATAAGCTTTCTCAGTCGATAAAAACGGTTTCTACTTTTTTGAAAGGCATTATAGATGAGATTCAAGAGAAAATGAAAATTCCAACCAAACTCATTTCATGAATAAAAATCTTTTCAACAATATATCAATAGAAATACCCATATTTTGGTGTATTAAGCTCGCACTGATCGTATGCCGGATCTGTAATTCCCGCCAAAAGTTAATCGTCCTATCTACTCGATCAAAATACATTAATCGTGCGTTCCACTAAGCGCTCACAACGATAAAAATGCTCCTATAACCGTTCCATATAATGACCGGGATCGTTGTGGTCGCCTCGAAAACATCACTCATGACGTCATTACTTTCGCTCACGGCAAGCTCACAACGACCCATCCTGAAGAGATGGGACGAAGTTGACGTTGAGAATATTTCGGCGAAGGGTCAAATATTGACCCTTCTCAATGGGAAATCATCGACTTCGTGTTGATGTACCTACCGTTCACTGATGACTGGCCAAATATCCCGAAACCGGTCTGCAAGTGTGCCCGTTCCAATAATTGAAAATCGATTCCAGCAGTTGAATTACCAGAAGCATGTGCAGAAATTTCTTCTGTGAAGAAACCTGCACTAACACTTGTCTGATATAATCTAACGCCCTTCGTGATATTAGTCAGGAGAGTTGTTGTTTTCTGATGGGTGTTAGTCCGTGAACCTAATGTGTAGTAAATGAAGACGGACCTGAATGAATCGTTCCTTTGGATCATTTGAGTTATGCCAGTCTTCAAGGATGCGCACTTACTATGGTGACGTTTTCCATAATGAATCCAAATCTGTGGGTTTAAGTAAAGCCTTCGTTCTTATTGCAGTGATGCTTTATGGACATCACAAATTGAGTGGGCATACTTGGACACCGGCTGTAAATCAAATTATCTAAAAGAACAATTCGTTCAGGCCAGTCTCAAATTACCTACACTATAGGTTAATGGACTGACACCTATCAGAAAACAATTACTCCTCTGGCTAATGACAAACATGTTGTTTGTTGTTCGCTTCAGCCTAGTTCGAGGAATGATACTCTGAAGGAATTCGATTTTCAAATATCGTAAATCATCAACTTTATGTTGATGATAGACACTACCTTGCACTGACAAGTGGCCAAACGGTCTGTGTGCTCCAATAATTGAAAATCGATTGCGGCAGTTGTATCGCCAACAGTATATGCAGAAGTAACTTTAGTGAAGAATCCTGCACTGACACCTGTCATCCAACGTCGTCCGTGGTATTAGTCAGGAGAGTAGTGGTTTTATGATAGGTGACAGTCCATTATTCTTCAGTATAGGTAATTTGAGACTGGCCTGAACGAATTGTTCTTTTAGATAATTTGATTTATGAACAACCAATTAGCTTGCCTTCTGCAATTCTGGTGCTGAAAACTCCTACGGAAAGGATGGTTTAAACACAGATTTACATATTTTTGTCTGTCGTAAGATGTCAATTACTTGAGTAACGTGAGGCATAAGGTAAACAATACTGCATACAGTCGTTCAAAACTCTTGATCTCAGAAATGTTGAGTCTGGAAAAGGGGACTATGTGATAATAAGCAAGTATTGAGAAGCCTTTGCTAAAGCTAATACATCTATTAGTCAAATAAAATTTTCAAACTACGTCAAGTAAATTATAAACCTACAACTTATCTCTTCAATGTCCAGGTAGGGCAGGAGGAACTGCAATAATCCAATTGGATAATCATGAACGAGCTTCAAAACGATAATGATAATCTGTGGCAAGAGTCAGTAACAAAGTCGCCAGTAAATGTAGCAATTAAACTATTGACTACTGCTGTTGTCTTTTTGTTTAACAATTCTGTGCTTGACATTTGAAGGCTTTTTGGCCGACGGTCTCAGCATAGAAGTTACTGTTTTGCCGCTGCTGTCCTGACTCTGGTATCTGCGGTCTATCAAAATAAATCATCAACTGTCATCTTCAATAATATAATATAAGTTATATTATCACATTTTTATTGATAGAGTATAAAACACTTTGTAGAAAAAAATGTCGCGTTCTATACGTGCAGAAACTCGGAGTAGGGCCAAAGATGATATTAAAAAAGTTATGAATGTTATAGACAAAGTCCGGCATTGGTGAGTAATAAAAATATAAAACAAAATAGGGTCCTACCATGATGTCGAATATTTAAATTTCAGGGAAAAGAAATGGGTAACAATTGGAGACACTACTATGAAAATATATAAATGGGTACCAGTAACTAGTCATGAACCCAAAAAATCCTCAAAACATAGAGATAATAAGGAGAATATGAGAAAAAGTACAGTACTGGATACTTCGAACTCAAACTCGAACTTCAGTCTTGCTGAAGATTCGAATACTTGTAAGTATTACCACACTAGCGAAGTGATACTGTAGGTACTGCATTTTGAAATTCTTTAGTCAACAAATGCCTAATGTTTCATATCTATGAAGTTGTAGCTTTAGTTTATTATGCTAAAACAACTATAAAAGTTAGATGATACCCTCTGGGTTGAACAGTTGTAGGATTTTTCAATTGATAGGTGATGCTTTGTCCATCCAAAAGTGGATTCATGCATCAGTTGGTGATTAACTTAGTATGGCAATGGCAAGTCATAAGTTTTTAAAAGTAACAAATGGAGATCATAATGTGTCTGAAACTGTATAGAGGAGAGATACATATATACAAAAAAAGGAAGATTTCAAAACATTCATCTCTCCCAACATCTTACACAGTAGGTTGTGGTAAATGCCTGCCAAAAAACAACTACTTCCCTGACTAATACCATGCTGGATGTTGAATTATGTCCGACAGACATTTATGCAAGATACCTCACAGAGGTTAGTTTTGCAGATGTTTCTTGTTCATCCAGCAGCAGGATCATCTGCGAGGATAACCTCTGTGAGGTATGGTGCATAAATGTCTGTCGGATATACTTTTATATCCAGCGTGGTATAAGCCGAGAAAGTAGTTGTTTTTCTGCAAGCATTTACCAGAACCTACTGTGTAGGTAGTTGGGAGAGATGAATGTTTCGAAATTTTATTTCAAAATATTTATTAAGATCGGACACTACGGTGAAAAAATAATAATAATAATGATTATTATACCGTCTTTATTATCTCCTGTTACATTTAAAGCAAATCAATCAGGTACAGTTCATTTATTATATGAAGATAAACGGCGACAATTTACATGATGACAAGTCATCATTCAATTGCTCTTCCACTTAACCTTAGTAGGTTTTAGTGCAGACTCAATCACTTCAAACCTAATCTAACGAGTCTAGACATCTATATCTATTAATATAAATGTGAAAATTTGTGAGGATGGATGTATGTATGTGGCACTTTCACGCCTGAAAGACTGAACGGATTTAGATGAAACTTTACATAAGTACAGCTTATACATCAGAATAACATATAGGCTACAATCTACAAAGGTTTTATGTAATTTTTGTCATAATATAACGATAACTATTAAGTAAGTCTGAAAAAGTCTTGCTCCTTGAGAGCTACCTTGACAAGACTCTATTAGACCGTGCTTTTGGGCTTTGTAATACGAAGGAAGGTCTCCAGAAGGAACTAGACATCATCAAAAATGATCTTCAACAGAATGGCTACTCCAAAGTGATGTTACCTATATTACCTATATTGGTGAAACTAAGAAGCCCTTGAATGTTCGCATTGCCGAGCACAAGAAACACACACAGCGAGGTATTACCACACTAGCGAAGTGATATTGTAGGTACTGCATTTTGAAATTCTTTAGTCAACAAATGCCTAATGTTTCATATCTATGAAGTTGTAGCTTCAGTTTATTATGCTAAAACAACTATAAAAGTTAGATGATACCCTCTGGGTTGAACAGTTGTAGGATTTTTCAATTGATAGGTGCTGCTTTGTCCATCCATAAGTGGATTCATGCATCAGTTGGTGATTAACCTAGAATGGCAATGGCAAGTCATAAGTTTTCAAAGGTAACAAATGGAGATCATAATGTGTCTGAAACTGTATAGAGGAGAGATACATATATACAAGAAAATGAAGATTTCAAAACATTCATCTCTCCCAACTTCTTACACAGTAGGTTGTGGTAAATGCCTGCCAAAAAACAACTACTTCCCTGACTAACACCACGCTGGATTTTGAATTATGTCTGACAGACATTTATGCAAGATACCTCACAGAGGTTAGTTTTGCAGATGTTTCTTGTTCATCCAGCAGCAGGATAATCTGCGAGGATAACCTCTGTGAGGTATCGTGCATAAATGTCTGTCGGATATACTTTTATATCCAGCGTGGTATAAGCCGGGAAAGTAGTTGTTTTTCTGCAAGCATTTACCAGAACCTACTGTGTAGGTAGTTGGGAGAGATGAATGTTTCGAAATTTTATTTCAAAATATTTATTTTCTTGTAACAAATGGAAACTTGAATTTTTATGAATTGAATAAACTTGTGACTGGTGAATAAATCTATCTTATCCTATAACCCCAAAGAAATATTAGTAACCTACATTGAAATCTGTCTTTGAAAGAATGATTACATCCATTTTAGTTATGAGTTCCAAGATTACATATCACATACAAACAGCACAATTTGCCAAAAGAATTCCCACATTGGGATGTAAATAATGAGAGTATTTTTGAAAAATCTGGAAGACTTTGGCAGATGTAATACATTTTAAGTGAACAGTTCTTTGTTCCCACGGAAATGAGGTGAATTGAAATCTTTGGATGAAGATAGGTCTATAATCTATGGAAGAAGATTTTCTAAATTTCTATGGGGAGAAGCAGTTCTAACAGCTGCTTATTTAACAAATTGCAGACTCACTTCCTTTTAAAATCAGAACTTGTCATAAACATAGCTCAAGGTTTTGTGACGAATACTGACCATCTGGATTGTAAGAAAATTTTCAGAGCACATACCTTGTGCCTGTGCTATCTTAGACGGAATCAGGTTTTGAATGTCTGACCTGAAAGAAATTGTACTGGATAAAGAAATCGGCATTATTGAGCAGCTGGACCTATTGTTCTGAACCACAATAATAATACTATTTATTTATTATCTCCTTATACATTTAAAGCAAATCAATCAGGTACAGTTCATTTATTATATGAAGATGAACGGCGACAATTTACATGATGACAAGTCATCATTCAATTGCTCTTCCACTTAACCTTAGTAGGTTGTAGTGCAGACTCAATCACTAACCTAACCTAACGAGTCTAGACATCTATATCTATTAATATAAATGTGAAAGTTTGTGAGGATGGATGTATGTATATGGCTCCTTCACGCCTGAAAGACTGAAAAGATTTAGATGAAACTTTACATAAGTACAGCTTATACATCAGAATAACATATAGGCTACAATCAACAAAGGTTTTATGTAATTTTTGTTATAATATAACTATTAAGTAAGTCTGAAAAAGTCTTGCTCCTTGAGAGCTACCTTGACAAGACTCTATTAGACCGTGCAGAACCTGCTTCAAATCCGGTAACACTATCCGTAGCAGCCTCACGAAAACCAGGCCACCAAACGCGGACTGCGATTCCAAGAATTGCATTTACCGGATACCATGTGAGTGCGGAAAATCCTATATTGGTGAAACTAAGAAGCCTTTGAATGTTCGCATTGCCGAGCACAAGAAACACACACAGCGAGGGGAAACCAGCAAATCAGGAATAGCAGACCATGTTTGGACCCATCAACACAACATCGAGTGGCCCCAAGCTGAGATCTTGCACAGAGAGGAACATTGGTTTAGAAGAAAATTCAAGGAAGCCGCATACATGTTGTCCAACAACGTATTCAGCCAAGCCAGCGTAGAAATACGCAACATATGGAAACCCATCATCAAGCGAAAAATGGCCAACTCCCGCCAAAACGGTCATCTCCCACGGAACCAGTGAAGCGGAAAATGGAAAGCGGGGATAAGTGAAAGTACTCAAATGACCTATAAATAGTCATCTCTCGGAGGAATCAGTCCAGTCATCACCTGAAGACGATTGTAGATAGTAACAATCGAAACGTCGTGAACTAACGTGACTTGGAATCTCTCCACTTTTTATTTTTATTTTCTTTTTTCATTTCTTTATTTTTATTTATTCAATTGTTCTATTTTTACTTGTATTTTATTTCACTATTATTTCATTTCAGGTTTATTTTGGTTAATATAATTGTTATTTTCAGCTATTCATTTTCAATTCTTCTTTTTTAGTTGTTTCAGGGATTTCAAATCATTTTATATAGTAGACAATGGAAGTCCGAACTAGTGAAATTCATAGTGCAACGGGGTATACGTTTTACGATAAAAAAATACCTTAGGTTTCAATTAAATGAACTGTAATCGAAAATAAAAGCTTACAATCATAAAATTTTACGATAGTAAGCATTTATTTACGATTAACAAAAAACTAAAGTTCAATAAAACAACATTTTATGGAATGAAGCTTTTATTTGCTACAAAAAGTTCCTCATTTTATTGACCTCCTTTACCGTCAACATCATTATATCTGGGGTAAAAAAAATATTCAAAAAACTCAAGTGCTGAAGTACCTTGAATTTTGCCGCCTGAACTGGATTCGTTAAATTCGTAAACATAAGGTGAGAAGTCTGGTTGACCATTCAAATCTGCCTTGTAAAGGGAGTTCTTCTTGCTCGATTCTTGAGCTTGAATCATCAATTTGTATTCAAAATGAAGCTCTGTAAATCTATCACATTTTCATGTTGATTTTGCAAATTTTCAGTGTCAGATAGTTCGTCATCTGACGAAAGCGACTCATATTCTTGGTCACTATCATCGCTTCTAGGCAGAATCTCTTTCAACTCTTTATTAGTCAAATATTTCTTTCTTTAAATAATTTTACACAAATACACCTCAGAAAACAATAAAAACACTTAACATACACTGCCTTTTGTTTATGTAAACAGGTTTAAAAACGCACTGCTATCACTAGAACTATTGTTTATCTAATCAGCTGTACAACAGTGTTACCATTGCAGTTAATTTCTCGCTCCAATTGGCTTGTGCGAAATACCTTCTTGACAATATGCGGCTGGAGCAGTCAGGTCGTATTTAATTTTGAAATGCGAGTTATCTCGTCTCAAGCACTATACCAACGATCGAGTATACTCGTCTTGAGCAGTGAAAGGGTTAAGTAGTTCAAAATAAAAGTCCGCGATAGCATATATCTACCTCTTATGTGGGTATTGGGTAGCCACTATATGCAAAATACTGAGCCATAAATACCTACTTTTTCACAATGCACATTTTACAATATCTGTCAAATTCCTATAAAAATTGATACAATTGTCGTTTTAAGTATTTGATATAAATAAACGATGAACTTTGTCTTTTACAGTAAGTAATTTGAACAAATCATTTAAAATCACGATAAGTAAACCAGTACGCATCGCGTCTACTGTAAGGCGACGGGGGACGATGCGCGGGAGTAGAGGAGAGGTCTAAGCAATGAAGCGTCATCGCCGAGAATGCGGGCAGACGCGTGAGGACAGACATCGTTGACAATTGTGTTAGTTTGCGAATTTCTTTATAAGTAACATAATTTGATTCTCGAAACTATTCATTACTTAATGCAGTTGGCATATTTTTTTAGTTACTGTATTTTTAAAGTAGAAATATAAATTACTAGCTGTTGCCTGCTCTTATATTAATGTACAGCCGAAGCTACCGAACCTAGAATCTTGAAATATGCAGGAAGGTTCTTTGTATAGCGTAAATAAGCATCAAGAAAAGGAATCAGGAATGTTCACCCCCAAAGGAGAGAAATAGGGGTTTGAAGATTGCATTGAATTTCGTCAGTTTTGAAGTTGGAAACCTGAAGGTTTGGAATAATGAGAAAACATTGTAATTTGTTTGAAATGGTCTGTCACGAAACTTAATGTGACAAACCAAATTCTACGCGGGCGAAGCCGCGGGTATAAAGATCTTGGATGCAAGCCATCGTTTCAAATGTGGTGACATTTTCTAAAACAGTGTTTTTCAACCTTTTCCATGACACGACCCCCCTAGTAAGAAAAAATATCATGCGACCCCCTTGCTGCCCCCTTTTTCATGTATGTTATTATTTTATGTTACAAATATTCAGTCCATACATTTTGATGCGTTTTAATAATTAGCATATGAATACATAATAAAGTACGTAAAAAACATTCTTTTACATCGAAAAAGTCGCCAATTGATAACTAACGCAATTTACGCGCATAGGTACGAACGACCAAGGCCGATGCCGGCCGTCCGGCCGAGAAACGAGCGCTGCCGGGGGCATCGCGGGGTATGAAGGAAGTGACACGCGTGATTGTCAGCCGTTCAGTTGTGTAGCGAGGGCAAATCATTGTTTTCCGTTTTTCACGTATTTAGTTGAAGTGATTTGTAATAATTGAAAATGGATGAATTCCAGAAAAGACCAACAGAACCGTCAACTTCTAGCGGGAGTGGTGGATCAAAACCAAAAAAATTTCGGGTTTACTGTGATAAACCGCAGTGCGTTATTTGCTTTGAAACTTTATCAAGAGAAAGCATGAAGCCATCGAAGTTAGCACGCCACCTCAACACAAAACATCTAAATGAAAAAGATAAACCCGTGGAATTTTTTGAGAGAAAATTAAAAGCTCTTCAACATCAAAAAACTGCCATAGTACAAATGTCCAACCTAAATGAAAAAGCGTTGCTTGCTAGTTATCGAGTAGTTTTTCGTGTGGCTAAAACAGGAAAACCCCACACAATTGCCGAAAGTTTGAAAAAATAAAAGAAAGTACTTTTGTGTCCTTGCAATTTGATGAATCTACGGATATTGCGGGTTGTGCGCAGTTTGTCGCTTTTGTGCGTTTTGAATCCAATGAAAAATTAATGGAAGAAATACTATTTTGCAGAGCACTTCCCTCAAACACTACAGGTCAGTGCTTGCATAACATGTTCCTTGAAGCTACGCAAGATATGAATATTGATTGGAGAGAAAAATGCATTGCCATTTGTAGTGATGGAGCAAAAGTTATGACTGGTGCAAAAAGTGGATTTATTGCTAAATTGAAAGAACAAATGCCAAACGCTTC